TAACAGAAATGTATCACACAGGCTGGGCCACCTAGCAGCTATTGGTGGAAGAGACGGGGTTCCAACACATATGGATTTGTATCCATGCTAAGGGCATTGGAGGGCAATGTTGGTCTGTTGATTGGTTGTTTGGTTTATCTGTTTTGGTCCAAGTAGCACTTTAGCCTGCTAACATGCTAAACAGAGGTAGTGAATATGATACTAATTATACCTGCTAATTATCAGCATCTTATCAAAGTCAATGTGATCATGTCAACATGCTTACATTAGCATTTAGCTCAAAGTACCAGTGTTCATAAGCACAGCTTTGGTCTAGGTATTTATGTCCTTATATTTGTTCAAAATAAGTTATAACAAATCATAAAATATGTATTAAATGTGTACAATATTTGTAAAAACACACAGAAAAACTTGTTGTATTTGTCAGTTTTTCACACACATGTACTCACACACACACATGGACTCACACACTTACACGTACACACAAACACATAAAGATCAAAAGGTCGCAAATTGCTGTGAGCGAATCAGAACCAACCTCCGCCTTAGAGGTCTTTCGTGACAAAAGATGTTGACTTCATATAATGCCCTCTCAAAGCTGGCTCTATTCCCTCCATCAAAAGCTCCTACAAGATGAAGGCTGACGGTTTGAGAGCATGGCTTGACTCCAATAAGCGATGTCTCACAGTAAATAAACTGACAGAGGGGTGTGATGACCTTTCTGTTGTGAAATTATTGATGTAGTCCGCTGTGTAACTGCGTGAGTCTCAAACCAGAATCATGTTGCTGTTGCATCAGTTCACTTTCTCCTTCTGTCCTCATCCAAGCTAAACCTAATATTTCTTGAGAAGGGTGCTCTGTCAACGGAAAAAGAAACGAACAAGCAGCCGCTGCTCTAAAGAATTCATGTTTGCCAGCTCTTTTTTGTACACCTCTGGCTCTCATTCATTTTACAGAGAGTATTGACGACTGCATGTGTGCACCTCCCGTAAATCCAATTTCTCTGCTTTCAGGCATAAATCTCAACGCATGCTGTTCACAGATAATGTTCTGACAGCAGCGACTTCATGTTCCCTTCCTGCTTTGCATCTATTCATTATTCCTTTCTTATTCTCTCATCGCTCCACAAAAAAGCAATATTCCTTTCCATTTCATAGAAAATTGTCAGTAAATGGATGAGAGAGGTAGGTGTCTGCCTTCACGCCTTTCTCTTTGTCTCTTTTGATGCAGATGAAGCGGAAATGCATCTTTCTGCATCGCACCCATGGTGGATTCTCTCCGTCAGGACTCTGCAGGTGGTGGTCTGCAGCTCTGTTGTTGTCTAACACCAGATTTCTCACAGTTTCACAAACATAACCCACATTTTATTCCTTCCCCCTCTGTCTCATCTTCCCTTGTTCTCACTCATGACATCTGGAATAGCTGAAAGCAATATTCCATGTGTGCATGTTAGTTTCTCAGATTATCAAAAAGCTGTTTGCATCTGAATTGTACATGCCCCTGGTTTGTGTGTTATGTTGCCATCAAATGACATCGGCTTATCCACTATATCGGTGATCCCGTCATCCTCGGGCAAAGCAGCACGTGTGGAGCAGGAGGAAGCTAAATCATACTGATGGCTTTTAATGACCAATGATGCCTAACAGAGGGAGACGTTCCTAACTGTGTCGTTCCCTCATAGCCAGCAAATCAATGCCAGCCTGCCCTCAAAATGTCAAGCGACAGCCATCCCTAGGGTTTTAAAGACAGACCAGGATGAGGCTATTTCCTAAATGGCTTTAGCGGGGAAGGGTTGTTTTAACCTGGATGGGTGCCATACATCAGAGCTCTCCCACAGACTGGAGAATGGCTGTGAGTTACATCCCAGAAATATGTGCTGAAAAGTGGGCTATGCACCGGTGTGTGAACTTCTACGTGTTTCAGGGTGCTCAGGGCAGGTTTAACTCTCCTATCTGCAAGTTTGTTTAGACACACATTCTAATCTTTCTAATTAATTTTGTCGGAAGCTGCGGTTTGACCAGAAATCTAATCCAGGTCATTTGATTGTGCCTCTAATTATTTATTGAGTTTCCTCTTCCCAGAACAAAAAAAGGATTAGTCCCTCAGAAAACCGTTGATATGCAGAGAAGAGACAAAGAGAGAGTAATTCATCATAGATTTGTAAACACAGTCCTCTTCATTCTCTCCCTTATGGACTTTTATTTTAGCTTTTAGCTTTTTTTGAAAGCCAATGAGCAGCCAGCCAATTTAACAACTGATCACTCGACTTTAACTTTGTGGATTCTTTCACAGACTGTCTTTCCTTAAATGTAATTATAAGAGGCGTTTTTTTTTTAATGAGAAATGTGTTGCTATTCTGAAACTCACTCAGTGTGCCGCCTGTCAACCTTTTGATCATTTCACATTTCTTTCTGATGTTGGAAGGAAAGGTTGGTTTTGACCCAGACACCTTTTCTTTTGGCAATAGGGAACGGACAATATGACAGAGGGAAATGTTGTTAAGCACATTTTGTTAATAGCCTTGTTTTCCTTTGTTGTACTTAACAATTGACTCACTGCTTTTTGATTTCATGTTCCTACTTAAAGAGTACTTATGCCACAGTGTTTCCACCTATTGAATGTTTCTTGTAAAAATCCTCTAACCTAACACAGTTTTTGAAATGTATCCAGGTAGACGATTGCATCCGAGTGTTGGCACAGCTAGAAGTGTTCTGGCGATGGAGGAATTAGTGTCGGCTCTGGTCCATATACGACTGACAGATTTGGCCATGTTTTTGGGGGGTGTGGACTTTGGCTAATTTAGGCTGAGAAACTGTTAAAGTAAGCAGCAATCAAGCTAGTTCTGGGCAAGCGTCAACTCATGGCATTAGCCCAAGTTTGGCTGTTTCCAGCAGGCTCACACTCATTTGTGATGAGTGCATCACAAATCTTTGAGACCAGTAGTACTGAATATAGGCCACTGTTGATTTTGGCTAAACAAGTCACTTTACACTAAACATACATCCGGATGTGCCTATTACTCCCATGCATATTTTTTTCCCTTCTGATGAGAATGTAGCTTTCACCTAAACCTTCTATTTATTACATTAATTATTGTTTAAGCACAAAAACTAATTTGAAAAGGAAAAGATCATTGTTTAGGTTAATATGACCCACTGGTTGAGGTTTCGGGAACTATTGTCATGGCTAAAAGAAATCAATGGCACTGTCAGTAGGAAATGGAAAGCGAACAGCAGTCCTGTGTCAAAATCCAACATTTACCCATCCAATCAATCCGAACAAAGTTTTCTGAAAACTGCAGGGGAATCTGCCTCAAAGAAAACCTTTTTCCAGCTTCAGTCTGTCCCAAAAACTTCAGTATGAGAAAGACATGGTAGTGCAGTCTTCACTTAGGTGGAAGGAAGCCATGACAAACATTTCAGAGTTGAGCTGCAGTCAGTATCCTGCTGACATCAAAGACGTGGTATGTATGTACTGCTGCCCCATTTCAATACCCACACACAACCCCTTAAAACTATTTTTACTCCCTGCATTCATACATCAGCTCAGCCTCTGAGTGATAGCTCTAATGACCTTACATTGGGATGATGTGTGTGGTAAACATCTCCTGAACTACATCTCTCTATTTCTCTGCCAGCCTGGGTAATTTTCAGAGAAGCTTTATACTTTGGGGCTTTATATGATTCACGCTCAGGATTCATGTTCGTAAAAAAAAAAGTCATGAACAATGAGCAGTCTGTGTTCCACATGCTGCATTGTATTTAACTTTTGCTAGATGGAGTAAAAACGTAATTATTAAGACAAGACTCAAACTTCTATTTGTATCATACAGTGGACTTTTTTGTATCTTCTTTTCTTAGCACCATAAGTAGCCTCTCTAATTTTGAAATACAATATTGTTTCAGAAGAAAACAGACCTATTGTATGTTGTTTTTGTTTTTTTTATCTCCTAAAATGTGGGAATAAGTTTATCAAAATCACATTTATTGTAGTTTTTTTTTTCAACCTTTTTTTAAGCCCCATGCCCCCGGTACCGGGGGACTATGTTCAATCTGAATTTACTTTAAAATAAAAAAATTCTATATTGATTCTGACTTTTCTACATCCAACTCACAGGTTTATCATTGATTAGAAAAAAAAGATTATTAATTTACCCTTTTTAGAAGTGAAGATATAGTCAATTGTTCTGGGAATGTCATTTTCGAGCCTGAGGCCTGAAAAACAGGCTTGGGGCTTAACTGGAGCATGCTTGATCCTCAGAAACAAAGTGGCAGCCCAACAACATTTTAACCATGGAGAATATAGCTTTGGTTCACAAGGGGGGGATTCTGTCAGGATGTATGTTTCGGTTTGTATCCTTCTTGTTTTGTCTTGGTACTACATGCACAGCCACACACACAACAAACTAAGACACAAAAATAAAAAATGATATCCTGCCTCGTGCTCTGCTCCAAAAATACAATACCCGGTTATCACTGTCTCATTCATTCAGCAGATTAAGTTTGCTGCTGAACAATAATAACATCCTGTTTGGTTCATGTTTACAGCCTAAAGATAAAGCTGTATCCTCCTGGATGTAAGACTCGTCTGTCTATCCCAAAACTTCCCTGTATTGTTCCATTGGAGCAGAATGATGGATCTAAAAAAAGACACACTCTGCATTTCCCAAATGTAAAATGCACAGCCAGAGATTTACAAAGGGCTGAATGAGAAGATACATGTCAAAACTCGTATGTACGTAGCATTTGTATTTTAAGAATTCAATCAAATATTTTAAAAAAGCTCAGTCATTTACATACAAATGCATATAAACAACAACAAGGTAAACCCTACTGGTAACAAAAAGCTTCTTGCACTGACTGTATCCTCATGTAACATAAATGCACTCCAACCACACTCTAAAAATCAAGTTCAATGGACCAGACTGTGGCTTTACATCTGCAGCACTACATGGAAATATGCATAATGACTTAAGACAGAATTGTAGGTTGTCTACTCACCCTCCTGTGTGTTGTTAAGCTTGCTGTCAGTATATTCCGTCGCCGTGGACAGGCACCAGACGTGGAGAGCGAAGAGCACAAAGGCAAAGTTCTTCCGCCGCCTCCAGGTTCTCATGATGCCCGGGCTCAGTGAGGTGAAACCGGGGGAAAGCGCTCCGGTCACAACGCGTTATAAAAGCAGCACGACCAACACTTCAAACAGGTGACAGGTAGCGGCCAATGTAGTTCACTGTGGTGTGGCGGGTGCTAAACCTCCAGGAAGGTGTGGTAGTCTGTCACTCCAGGAAAGAAGCTGTCAAAAACTTTTCATTCCTACACCCACGTTTAAAGTGCAACAACCGGGGGGGGGAAACGTACAAATACATGTGTTATCCCAATGTTGCTCATGTGGTAGAGGTATGGCAAGGAGCGAGAGAGGAGGCAGAATGAGAGGCTGTTGGAGCGGAGTGGAACGGACTCGCCATCCCCTCCAGGACCGGAGCAGCCACTCTGCCATGTGCGCTTCAGGCTCCGCTGGGTCCTAGAGCCGGACCAACACAAACAACTGAATGTAAACTATTTAGCCTAAAAAAATCACCAACTTTGCGTTAGCTCATTGTTTTTTTTAAATAAAACAGACTAAGGTACACCAAGGAGCTTTATGTATGTACTTATCTAATTATGTAAAATATTAGATGTTGACGTACAATATTTCCAGGGAGTACCTCAAGTTAGCTAGTTAAGCCAAAAAACGTTTAAGGTCTTTCTTTACCGTTAGCATTAGCTGACAGCATAGTCACGGCAATTCGTCCTTCACAAAGTGTAGACATAAACGTCTGTTTGATTAAAAAATACCTTTAGAGATGCAACCCGCTGCTTGGCAGCAAGTAAAAAATGATGTGTAAAAAGCTAGAAACTCTAGTTAGCTAATAGCTAACTTATAGTTGTTTGCAGCCTGAAGTTTGTGAAGCAGGACTGTTTGTAGTGCATGCGTTTAGCGGTAGCCTTTGGCGGTGGCTAGCTAAATACTTCAAATGACAACTTTATTGAAAAGCAGTGCATTAACATGAGAAACAAAATACATGCAGAAATGGAAGAGAAAACTAAAATCGAACTTATTGACATCATTAAATACATTTGAACAATTAAACATTCATTTACAAATCATTTACAACATTACATACTATACATATGTTAGCAATCCCTACCATGAGGGATGTCTGCATTTACAAATGAAATATAATTATTTATGTTTTTGTAGAACATTCAAGTTTGTGTGATCCAGGAAGCTATGTAAGGAACATATTTAGAAACTATGAGAGTCTCATAATGAGACACAATCATTTCCTTTCAGAAGCAGATTTTTTTTAAATCAAATTTTACTCATGAACATGTTTTGTCAATGTTGTTTTTCTTCTTCTCAAGGTAGTGTGAACATCATGAGTTGTGCAGAATAAAATATATGCATGTAGGCTACGCTGATGGTATTACAAGTTGACATTTCAAAAGCTTCTAACCTGTTGAACCCTCAGTTTCCAATTTAGTTTATTTCTAAAATACCTGTACAAAGTGCGTTTGTTTTGGTTGAGGTTTGTTATCTTGTGATAAAATAAAAGCACGTCATGATTCAATTTCAGTGTGAGAATGTGAAAAATATTCATTCCATCAAAATAGGAAGTTGTCTTTAAAATATCCCTGGGATGAGGATGGCTCATCCTTCAATCTTTGTGTCCAAATGACATTCAAAAAGACATACACACACTCTCTCACACACACACACACACACACACACACACACACACACACACACACACACACACACACACACACACACACACACACACACACACACACACATCCATGTTTTGCACAGGCTACCTTGTCTGGTTTAGAGTAATCATTTTCATTGTGAATGCTGCAGGCAAAGAAAGTCACAAAATCTCTACGTGCACATGTCAGTTCACTCTACATCTCCACTGAGGTCACAAACGGAAAAGAAAATTATAAAAAAAGATTTGATTTTCCAGAGCTGACTTTAAGTTATATGCCAGAGTCTGGTGTCTATCCTAACTTTCTCTTTGAAAAGGATTTATTAAATGTGTTCCCCTCTGCTTTCTGTTGTAACTTTTGAGTTGATTCTGTTATGGATGACACTTCCATCTCCTCCTCCCTCTTGATCACCATTTTCTTTAGTGATAAGACAACTTTCAAGGCAAATTTATCTTAGATGTTAATGATTAAAATAAATATAACACAGAGACACTGCTGGAAACGATGGCAATGACGCCAAACTAACCCTAACCCTATCCCAGAAAATATGGGTGCCAATGAAATTACTAATGGCAAACCACTCTTTGTCAGTGTTTCTGCCTCACTGTACACAATTAGCCCTATAAATCTCATCTAGTGTATCCTTTCTAAGACAGACATATCAGCTGTTCCTTCCGGGCATGCGAGTCAGTCAAGGCTAAGCAAAGGGCCTCAGAGTACACAGTCCACATTATGCGGAGATAGCAATGTGACATGCAGACACATGATGCCTCAGAGAGCGGGAGGCAGACTGACAGGAGCCCTTCTCCTCATATACAGCTGCCTGTCAGTCTCTGCTCATCGTCCAGAACCAGCCCACATGGCAGCAGAGCACTTCTCATGTGGATTACTATTTTAAATTGTCTTGCTGGTAATGCAGCCATCAGTCATGTCAGTGGAAACTGACTTTACTGATGGATTGATACGGTTTAATACATAATGTTCCTTCCTTGCTATGGGCCCAAATCGATCCATCTGTTAAAAACTGCAATTACATTACACACTTGTATAATGTACACAGTATCCTTTGTTTATATTTTGTCAGTAGCAAGTTAATTGTGTTTTGCTAACTTATTATTGCTATTATATAGTCTTTAGATACTGTATATCTTTCTACTGCTGATATGTTTGCACTACAGTAACTGTTTTTCAATGTGTTGTTTTCATAGTAGAAGAGATTGAACTAAAGTAGCTAAAAGTAAAGTATGACATTAAACCTTGCATTTTGTTTGGGTTTTAAACACGGTCAGTATTTACTCTTAAGAAGTCAACTTCAGATACAGCATGCATTAATACAGCGCGGTGGTCTGAGACCTGCGGCACATGTCCTTCCCCTGTTCCCTCCTCAGCCCAGCAGGCTCAGTTCCACAGAGATGTCAGTCACCTTTACGGGCTATATGCGGACTGCAGTCACAGGCTGTGCTCAGTAGTCGCCTCTCTTATTACAATGTCATCTCTGGTTTGGAGCTCTATGACAAAAGCTCCCTTTCACCAGCGTTGCGAGTCTCCTGAGTTCGATTAGCTTGGAATTCCTGTGTTCCGGATGGGAGGATCCACAGGCCTCGAGGCAGACGTGAAGCCAATGACGCAACATGGTTGACCCCTCTCCAACTTTACACACCCAGAGCACCGTACCAATGATAGTCAAGGTGCTGGACTCCAAGCTGAATCTTAATTTCCTGGAAAATAACACTATGCCTACACAGAATATCCTTGGAATGCTTTTATTTAATTCTTGAGATACATTAGAGAAACATGATATCGTAGATAAGGAATACAAACAGTAGAAAGGGTATGAGCCAAGATTTGCCTCTATTGCTTTTAATCATTGGGTAATCATTTAAACAGTAAAGAAAGGTATAATTGCATTTTTTCAAACGTATAAAACTGTAAACCTCATTCTCATTTGTGTGTGTGTTGGTGTCAGAAGTTTAGGTTTTGCCAATGTCTGCACACAACAACAATTGTTATTTATATTGAACATCATATACAATTTTTATATACAGAATACCATACAGTTTAATATGGTAAGAAAATGCTTATTTGTCTTTGCCATTGTGGCATAGATTGAATTGTGTCTTCTCTGGAACATGTCAAATAAGATTACACAGTTGGAAAATAATGAAAAATTACTCAAAATATGTGTTTTTGTCACCGCCATAACTTCATCATCTTGTTCTGCAAAATCCAATTTGTGTTTCGGATTTTGTATTCATTCTAACTGTTAAGCAGTCAGGATAGAATAAGTAAAGATTGAACATGATATTTAATATAAATCAAGCCTTAATAAAATGAATATATGCCAAGGCATGGAAATGATTTGCATAGAAGATTGACTGAATTAAATACATTCCTATTTACATCAGAGCCAGAATGGTCAGTGAATTAACACAGTTTCACCTCCTGGTTTCTCCAATTTATCTTTGCAGTATCTGGTCCAGAAGTCTCTACAAAAAAATAGAAAAACAATGTAATCAATAACTTTCCAAAAATGTATCTGCTTTCAGACCTGCCTTCCCCCAGTCTCTTAAGAGCAGCTCTGCATCAAACAGGAAAGACTCCCGCTGCTAAATTGGCTTTCCTCTCCCTAAGCCTCACCCTCAGGAAGGATGGAATCATTCTAGTTTGCTATCTGTCCAAATACACTGCTATTCATTCGCCCTCCTCTCACAGCACAACCCAACAGTAGGAATCTCATTTCAGCCAGCGTTTAAAACCACCCACCCTCTACCTCTCACTATCAGACCCCTGTGTGACTCTACTCTGGGCTCAACCTGTCTCCCTGCTGCAGACTTTCTGACAAGAATGACGCCTGTGAAGCACACATACGACTTGGCGTTTATCGTGGTGGAACACACTTCTTTTTCCCCCCCAATCTTACTGCGGTTGTGCCCGGCTAATAGCTTCATTTGAGAGGTGGCAAGGTCACGCTGGCATGGTTACAGTCGACTCCATTTCCTTGAGAAATACAAAATGTTCTCTCACAGAGCCATTTGACGTCACACTGTGCCCTATAATTGCTGGTTGTGTCAGTAAACCACAGAGTTGATTTACTGTCGTACAGTGTTTAAAATGAGTGTTGTTGGAGGTCCCGAGGCAAAACGGTTCCCAGTTTATGTAAGTGTTGGCAAAACGAGAGAGAAGACAATCATTTTGAGATTACCCTGAAACACATATTGGTAAAAAACACACACACACTCACTTTCTCCCTCTCAAGCCTGAAGCTGCCATGATAGTGTAATTATCTGTAAAAGATTGGAGACATCTCTTCACACTTTTACCATCTCACCTGACTGACAGCAAATGTATTGTTTGGGTAAGGGTATTATGGGAGATGAGTGATGGCTCACCCACATGTGAAGCTGAAGAATTGATTTGTCTGACGCTTCATGTCCTAAATATATCACTCATTTGCCACATGCCCCTCATTGTGAGGAAGTGGATTCTGCCTCTTACAGTTAAGCAAGTCCTAGGCATTACGTCCGCAGGGCCTAAAATCCGTTACATTTAATTAAGTTATGTGTTTTTACTGTACAGTGAAAGCCAAGACCACAGCGTAGCATAATGACTGAAATGGGTTTAGTTGTGATGAAGTAAGGGTTTCAATTTGGCATGAATTATTAGGAGGTTCTCTAGTGTTTTCTAATCTGATTTTGAAGAAAACAC